CTGGTTTTTCTCTGAGTGTTCGTCTTTTTGTTGTTGTCGGTCTCTTGGGGAGATTAAGCGTTGGAACTCGAACTCTCTTTTTGGTTGGAGAGAGCTGTGGCAGTTCCCTACTGCCCCGTCGCCATCTTGGTCCCCCCTCCTGGACTTGTTTCTATATAATCACAGGCACCTTGACTCTGATTCACAGGGCTGATTGACATGAGACTACTTTATGACTATTGAATTCTGATCTGACATAGTAAGATGCATTTTCTATGTCTTACATATCTGTTGCTAAGACATACAACATTATGAATTTAAAAAAGCAAAAAGCTTGACTAGCACTTGCTTGTTACATCCCACAAAACACAATTATTTCCTTTTTCTCACTCACAGTCCAGGGGCTCACTTCCCATGACAATTCTCATGGCTTGAGCTTTGCTATCATGGGAGAGTCAGAAAGTACTGGATCCCTTTGTACATACCCGGTTGAAGCCTGCATGGAGGAGAGGAAGGACTGAGGCCTCTTCACAGTCATCAGATCTGCAGCAAAGCAGAAAATGTGGTCACTCAGAAGATACAAACCAGGGTTCCTCACACTGAAACATGGAGAAAGAGCAGTGAGACCATGGCTGTTAGCCATAAGAGGGGCTTCCTGACCAGCCTGTGCTCACAGGGTTCATCTTCAAGGGCAGAGACCCCAATTATGCCTTCCAGATGAAAACAGAACACTGGCAGTCCAGGAAATCCAGTCATGCATTGGGAAGTACCACCAAGTACATGTGTGGGCCTGCTCCAACCCTGAGCTGAGTCTCAAGCAGGACTCATAAAGGACACTACTCATCCCAAGACAGTTGTCTCAAAACCTTCTGCAAGTATGACTTTTGCTTAAGGCCTCGCTGGATCTACCTTACGATGTGAAGAGGAAACCTGCAGGACTCTACAGCCAACTGGGAGAGAAGTGTCAGCAAGAATGTAAACTTACTACAGAAGGAAACAAAAATTGGTCATTGTCATCTATTCTGGGAGATGGTTTCCTACAGTGAGCCTACAGTTAGGTGTTGAGTACAAAGTGGGGTAGGGACTAGCCTGTCACGAAAACATCCCATTGAGAGAGAAACAAGGTCCCTGAGATAGCCAGACAGTGGCTTGGAAAGAAAAATGGAATAAAAAAGATTGCATGGAAATGTCAATCAAAACAGGAAGAGAAATTCCAGAATTTATTTGTGGCATTATCCATAGCTGAGTCTTGCCCTATAAGAAAATTCTGTACCCTACCCTGCTCCTCCTTTCCCTCGGTAACATGAAGTTCTGCCTTCTCTGAGTGACAGTTCAGGAGGGGTACAAAGAGGATTAATAATGTCCTAATTATTAATTAGAAGCTTTACTAATTTTTACAGGCACTCTTAATCTTATATGAACCATTTCATATTTTTTAAAAACAGGAAAAATAGGTGAAAATGTAACAAATAAGATATTATGTATCAAGCAACAGAAAATATTTTTCCTCTATGAATAGGGAAAAAAAGGTATTTCATTCTTCGACCCATAGAACAAGCTAAGCGTGGAAATACAGTATTACTTTGTACATTCTAGTATCATGTCCAAGACTATAAGACACTGTTCAGATTTCAGAGTGACCTGAAGATAAATGGAAGAAAGAAGATAATGGAGCTGGTCTCACATTAGATTCATTCTCCTGGAAATCTCATCTCCTCAGGATAGCAGGTGTAAGGAATAACGGGGAAAATTCTTTACCTTCTTTGACCACAGCCTGTGGTAAGAAGTCAAGTGAAGATACTCAAAGAATAGTATATCAATAGGAAATTTCAGTCAGGGCAGGATTTTATATCCCTGGCCCCCTGCTATACCAATATGACTTTGGGTCACAGTATTTCAACTCTCCCTGCATCCACTAGCCTGGGAAAAGTTTATACCCTCTTGTCAGAGTTGCTGGTTTGTTAGCTCCTTTTGTACACGACCTGTGCCAAGTGCCAGAACAGAGCCAAGTTCAACAGGTCTAATGAAGATCTTATTCTCTCTGATGCTAATGACAGCCATTAATTCACTACAACAAATTTTGTTATTTGCAAAGATCCCAACTACTGAGACTTGTGCAAACAATGTCTTTCCTTTTGGCTCTTTCATTGTAAGTTCAGCACATTCCAGACAGTAAACCTGGCAAACAATTTCCTAACCATAGTCTTGATGTACCTACAGTTTGGTCTGTCTTCTTTGCTGTCCAACATGAACATAAATCCCACTGCCCTGCTAGCTACATAACAGTTCTTACATTAACCTCACAGTCTGGTACACATAATAGAGAGAAAGCTGAAAGATTTTCCAGTGACTTGTGAAACAAACAAAACCCCCATAGCAAATCCTAAGGTTGGTATCCCAAGGCCCTGTACCTGCCCAGCATATTGCCAACTCAAAAGCTGGATTGCACCAGACAAATGCCTCAGCCTGAGAAGCACTGTTTCCTGCTGGGGTTGGAGGTTGCACTTACATGTGGGAAACCACTGCCAGGATCACTGTGTGCTCCGAGGGGTTTGTGGCCCGGATCGACCTGCAACCAAAAGGCTCCAAGTCAAACAGTGAGCTGAGCTGTGTTACATTAAACCAATGGGGATCTTTTTTTACATTGATAATAAAATGGAATCAAATCTTTCTCTCAAGTAAAGGTCTTACAAGACATGTGAGACAACAAAGAAAAATGGCAGCCTTCTGAATTAAGAAGCTTATTATTTTTTTAATTGTTCTAACTGGTAGTCAATTATACAATAGGTCAGACTGGCCAATTTTCCACTCAAATATGAGCAAATTCCACTTAAATTTCATATTTTTGATAGAAATTCTACTCTGAAAAAATGACAGTTCTAAAATCCACTTAATTATCAATTTGTATCTGTGACAGCTGACAAGGCTAGATCTTTTTTCCTTTGAAAATAGTGGTTAATTAAGAAAGTTCATAATAAAAATTGAAGCACTTGCTGGCAAGTACAGGTTGAAGTTTATTAAAGATGATTCAAAGAGTTGCTCAACTTTTTGTTATTCTGTCATTTGGCTGGAATACTTCAAGCAACTTGGGCATCAGCTGGGGCTTAGAACAATTGTTAATACAGTAACTGTCATTGTATAATGATGTTTGTTGAACTAGGATCAAGTCTATCTACTTAGTTTTCTCCCTAGTAGTCTAATGGATCAAAACATATAAGAATATAGACATCTGAAGTTTTTGAGTCTTCTTAGATGTGTTCAGCTTCTGGACTATTGGGATCAAAGGATTTTGAATTGGGGAAAGTTTCCCTGAAGAGCCACATCTTTGTAAAGTGTAACCAGCACGCTTGCTTGTTTTAACTCATCCCCACCGTGTGGTCTCTGCTTATTTTGAAATCTCTTGAAACATGGCACAATTATCACCAAGGACAGAATCACCCAAGTAGTTTGTAAAACAGCATGTAGTCTCTGTGATGGGTTGTTGTTGTTGTTGCTGTTATGATTATTGCCGTGAATTCGTTTTTCTGGCATTTCTGCTCCTCTCCATGTTAATATGTTTACCTTTGGCTCCCCTAGGGATGGCAGCTCCTATTGCTTCTCTTCCACTCCAACAATTCCTGACCTTTCCCCAAAATTGTATGTTCTCTATGTCATGCTCTTTGATACCGGTGTGGCCAGAATACTCAGAAAAATGGCCAGCTGCTGTCTTCCTAGGAAGTGAAGTTTCCTTCCCAGGTAAATGATATTTAAGTGAGCAACTTTGGAGAAGATACTTTAAATCACAGTGGATAGGAGGTTTGGGTCAGCCTCCCTCCAATGCTGGCATAGATTATGTCCCATTGAGCCATCCCACAGAGCAGGTGTAAATTTGTTTTATACTTAGGAACCAACTAGATGGATACACAGCATACATATCCATTTGTACCAAATGAAAAACAAATGACAGTGTTTTAGAGGCATTCCACTGATTATTAGAAAATATTGCGGAGTCCCCACCTTCCTCTGGCCTCTTCTACCCCAGTGAGGTATCATAGGTACACTGCTGGGCTACATTCTAAAGGATGAGTCCTAGGCAAGAGGTCAAAGTAGGAATAAACATAAAGGGGCCGGAGCATATATGCTCTTGGTTTCTTTTGGAATTAGCTTCTGTTTTTTGAGTTCCTTCCTGCTGTTTCCCTCTTCCAGCTCATTCCTCCCAAAGAAATGTGGCAAGAGGCACCTAGGCTACTTCTTGAGGAGAAGACTAAGGGAGATCTGGAGATGGATGGGTCTGGATCAAGCATGATAAGAGAAGATCCAGGGCTGGGAAGGTGGCTCAGTGGTAGAGTGCTTGCCTTGCATGCCTGAAGCCCTGGGTTCGATTCCTCAGCACCACATAAGCAAAAAAAAAAAAAAGAAAAAAAGCTGGAAGTGGCGCTTTGGCTCAAGTGGTAGAGCGCTAGCCTTGAGCTGAAGAGCTGAGGGACAACGCCCAGGCCCAGAGTTCAGGTCCCACGCCCGGACCCAAAAAAAAAAAAAAAGAGAAGATCCAGTCTAGCTCAAAAGCCAAGGACTGTGGCCATGGATGACAATACAGGATACACATCTGCTAGGAGCATGTCCACTGCATCCCCTCCCCTCCCCTCCACACACAGCCCCACCCCTCAACATCTCCTTAGGGAATATTTGCTGGTGGTCAATCATCCAAGAAACTGGCCACTTTCCACATGTAAGAGGAACCATGTAGACACATATGCTTAAATTTTTTTGGGGGGGGCCAAGGGGGCCGGGCCTGGGGCCTGAACTCTGGGCCTGGGCGCTGTCCCTCAGCTCTTCAGCTCAAGGCTAGCGCTCTACCTCTTGAGCCACAGCACCACTTCCGGCTTTTTTTTTCTTTTTGCTTATGTGGTGCTGAGGAATCGAACCCAGGGCCTCATACATGCAAGGCAAGCGCTCTACCACTGAGCCACCTTCCCAGCCCCCCACATATGTTTTAAAATGTAGAGATTCTCCATTGTCTTTGTGTGCAGCAAAGGTAGAGGTGCATTTGTTAGGAAACAAAACAATACCTTTTTATATTCAAAGAAAATATAAGGCTAATCTGCTAAACTTAGCTTTTGCTTGCATTAAAACTTTCTTCCTATCATTTTTCTCTTTATAATGCAAGCTTATCTTAAATAATTCTATGTATGCACAAAGACTGTAGTAAATCTATTACAAAGCCACATAAGAAAATGAAGACCAGGAAATATAGGTTTACTTAGTTATAAAAGATCAGATTCTTCCCTAAAAATAACAAAATACATTTTTTAAGATATTAATGAAATTTATACTTCATTTTCTTTCTTTTTGTACTTGTCCTGGGGTTGATACCAGGATCTGGGTAATGTTTTCGAACTTTTTGTAATCACTCAATTTTTAATGTTATTATAGAGGGGATGTAAGGAGGGGTTACAGTTGTGTGTCAGGTCATGGGTGCATTTCTTTCAGTATCCAAAATACATTTCTTAATGCTAAAAAAATAGCATTCAAATATATTATGTGTGTAAGCATTATTAAATAGGAAATTTCGATGAAAATTAAGTTCTGAGATCATTAAACACTTAAAATAGGTTTCTTAGAAAAAAATCTTCTTTGGGAAAATGCAAATGTCTGTGATAAAAAAAACTTAGTCCATTAATTTATTATCAGTGTACTAAAGGTTCTAAGAATCCATTTCTCTACTTCTTGCTTTCATTTGCTAATATTTAAGAAAATCCCAGCTCCATATGTACTTGGACTCTGTCCTGGCCTAGCATTTAATTAGTGACCTCTTCCATCTAACGTCAAAGCATTCCACTTCCGCTAAACGGCTCAGTTCATCCCTTGCTAACTCTGACTGTGTATTTATTTATGAACAGACATGTGTTTGCTCCCCAAAGTGCAAGCATTGCTGTAATCAAGCCCCGGGAAGACTGATGAGTTGCCGCAAAGTGGCTGCCTTCCCTCCCCCTGAGTCTGGGAAGCCTGCCGCAGGATCTACCCATCTGTGACACGCACGGAAAAATTTATCATTCACACATTTCTGATGTTCACTTTGGGACAGAATAATGAAGTTTAAAATATCTGCCTTAAATCCAAACCATATCTGTATAATGAAAACTTCATTTTAATGATGCTTTTTAGACATAATACTTGGGATGGGAATGGGGAGTATCCCAAAATTTTAGGGGAGCAATCCAGCTCTCTCTCTCTCTCTCTCTCTCTCTCTCTCACACACACACACACACACAGAAAAATCAGTGTAACTCAAATGGGAAGATGTGAGGTATCCACAGAAAGGAGCTACAGCTTTCATTGCAGAAACATGAACCTGCTTCTCAGCGGAGTCCGTACACATTGAAGAAACATTTAGGAATGAAAGCAATCTGTAAGAGAAGTTCACTGTAAACTGTTGGGTGGGTTTCACAGGACGTTACCTGCACACTGCTTCCGCATCAAAGTAACGAGTTTTCCTGTGATCAATCACAATAATTTCATGGTGTTTATCCAGAAAGCATTCAAGAGCTGACTCTGGAGTCCGAGCAATGTTGCATCTGTATCCGGCTCTGTCGCAGGCCCACCAGAAGCCATCACTCTGACTATCTTCCTTGGCAAAGACTAGCAAAACCTGAAACACAAAGAATATAGCATCTACACAGAAATCCCCATCCAATTTAAAAGGGGCTCTGAAAGGAAGCTGTCTAGGGCCAAACCCAGCTCCTCCAACAGTTCCAGTGCTAAGTCATAGTTCTCTGGTTAAGTCATTCCATGTCCTGGGCCTAGTTTCTCTGCTGCGATATATACTCAGAGCCATGCCTTATAAACTGGAGCTGAGAATTGAATGACTGGATACAATAGGACTCAGTCAAGCTGGTGAGAGCAGTCGTAGGCTACAATCCAAGTTTTCTTAATTTCCAATTAGCTTTGTTTTTTAAATAAGATAAGCAGTACAATTGTTAAAAGGACACAAATTGCAGATTAGGTGATGGTTCACATATGCATGCATTTGGTTTCAGTGCATGTGGTAGTTGCCGGAGTCCCTGGAGGCTGGCTCTGAACCGATACAAAGGCACAGGAAAGAACCACCAAAAAATGAAAAAAAGTGATCATGACTATTAGATCCTTATCACTAAACAGTAGTTTTTCTGCTGGCCAGGCCAGAGTCAGGCTTAACACAACCACCTGGATTATTCACTTACTTACATGATCTTCTCCACTAGAGAAGACTTGCTAGTCCTGTTCCCTGCCACACCCTGTGTCCAATAGCAGGCTGGCAGTTGAGAGCCACTCAGTAAAAAGTTTATGACTGAAAAAATGTATATAACTACTCGTAGGATTTTGTGAGAACAATATAAGAGGACTTGTTTTTAAGAAAAGGTTATGTGAGAAAAATTGTCTTTTCTATCCAAGTGTGTTGCTTAAAAATTCCTGCTTTGGCCTGATGGCTTAGCTCTTGTTAGGGAAAAAAAAGAACTGCTTTTTCCCCCAGGATAGAATTAAAATACACTGCAGAAGACAAACCTCATATTGTTCAAGAAATAGCAGAGGGTGCAGGTATATGTTGAGATTACATGGGAACTGTTCATCTTATTTCAAAGTTACCTTATGTAAATACATCTTACCAGATTCAAACTAGCCAATCATGAGCAGACTGTGAACCTGAGCTCAGCCAATCTGAGCAGAGGAGCAGGACCTGTTGCATTAGGGATAAATAGGGGAGTAGCCTGCCCATTTTGTGTGCTTGCTTGCCACATTTTTGGCTGATGGTTCACCTTCTGCCTTGCTGAAACAATTCTTTATTTTCTACCTGTCTATTATTGTGACTCCAATGTTTCTTGGAAAGGATATTTATAACAGTTGTGCTATGTAGCTCAGGTTGTTCTCAAACTCTCAATCTTCCTGCTTCAGCCTCTTGAGTAGCTGGAATTAGGGGCATGCACCACTGTGAGGGCCTTGCTATTAGTAAAGGTAAGACAACAGATCCAATTGGTTAACATTTAATCACCTCCAGATATAGATAAAGCATTTAATATTCTTCAGTATCCACTTTGTGATTTAAAATATCACACTCTTGGGAAAAATAGAGCCATTATTTAACATACATTTCCTAAAAGCTTACTTTGTGCCACGCACTATTTTTAATTGCTTATGCTATGTACTAGAACAACATTGAGATTCTTAATTTGTCATGGTCAAAGGGCAAACAAACATAGGTATATTAAGTAAGGAGATTATGTAGAATGCAAGTGGTAAGTGCAATATAAAAGAAGTGGGCAGTAGCTACAGCAATAAGACAAGATGTGAACTATAAAAGGGATCCAAATAGGGAAAGATGAAGTCAAACTCTCCCTCTTTGCAGATGACATGATCTTGTATTTAAAGAATCCCACAGACTCCACTCCCAAATTACTCAAGCTGATTCAAAGTAGCAAAGTAGCAGGGTATAAAATTAACCCTCAAAAAATCAATGGCTTTTCTGTATGCCAACAATGAGAAATCAGGAAAGCAACTCCATTCGTAATAGCCTCACAAAAAATAAAATACCTAGGAATTAAACAAAGAAGTGAAAGACCTCTATGATGAAAACTTTAAAAACCTGAAAAAGGAAATCAAACCAGAACTTAGAAAGTGGAAAAACCTCCCATGCTCCTGGATTGGATGGATCAACATCATGAAAACGGCAATACTTCCCAAGGCTATCTACAAATTCAATGAGATTCAATACCTATCAATATTCCAACCTCATGCTTCAAGGAAATAGAAAAGGCAATCCAAAAATTCATATGGAACAATAAAAGACCCGAATAGCAAAACCGATCCTTAACAGAAAGAACAGTGCTGGAGGAATATCAATACCAAATCTCAAACTCTACTACGAAGCCATAATAATCAAAATAGCTTGGTACTGGCACAAGAACAGACCTCAGGACCAATGGAATAGAATTGAAAACCCAGAAATCAACCCACAGACCTATAGCCATCTAATCTTCGATAAGGGAGCTAAAAAAATAGAATGGAAGAAAGACAGCCTCTTCAGTAAATGGTGCTGGCAAAATTGGTTAATTACTTGTAGAAAACTAAAGCTAGATCCTTATATATCACCCTGCACCAGAATCAGCTCCAAATGGATCAAAGATCTTGGAGTCAAAACAGACACTCTGAAAACATTACAGGATGGAATAGGAGAAACCCTAGGTCTCCTTGGCTCAGGCTGAAATTTTCTTAATAAAGACTCAGAAACACAACAAATCAAAGAAAGGTTGGACAAATGGGATTGCATGAAATTGCAGAGCTTCTGCATGGCAAAGGACATAGCTAGCAAGATCAATAGAAAGCCCACGGATTGGGAGAAGATCTTCACTAGCCATACAAAGGACAAGGGTCTCATATCTAAAATATACTTGAAACTCAAAAAAGTAAATCCCCCCAACAACAAATCCTCAAAGAAACAACTGCCCAATAAATAAGTGGGCTAAAAACTTAAAGAGAAATTTCTCTGAAGAAGAAAGAAGGATGGCCAATAGACACATGAAGAAATGCTCAACATCCCTAGCCATAAAAGAAATGCAAATCAAAACAACATTGAGATACCACCTCACCCCAGTTAGAATGGCTATAATCAAGAACGCTAATAACAACAGGGAATGTGGACAGAAGGGAACCTTACTGCATTGTTGGTGGGAGTGTAAACTTGTTCAATCACTTTGGAAAGCAGTATGGAGGTTCCTCAAAAGACTCCACATAAAACTCCCTATGACCCAGCAATCCCACTTTTGGGCATTTACCCAAATGATCACAAACAAGACCACACTAAAGTTACCAGCACAACTATGTTTATTGCACCATTACTTACCATAGCTAAGATATGGAACCAACCCAGAAACCCCTCACTGGAATTCTATGCCTCCATCAGAAAGAATGACATTGTCCCATTTGTTAGGAAATGGAAAGGCTTGGAAAAAATTATATTAAGTGAAGTTAGCCAGGTCCAAAGAAACATAGGTCCCATGGTTTCCCTTATTTGCAATAACTAGTATATGTCTGAGTCAAGCAGAAAAGGTCAGATAAGTTGATGTTAGGTGAAAGAACCCCAAGATAAGTATTCAAATGTTTTTTTTCTTTCATGCAATTGTTTCTAACGTATTTATGAGATGATTTCTTTGTTGCTTTGATGTCCCTCCCCCACAGTATAACCCCTGCTTTCACTATTTGATGTCGGTATAATTTGTGGAGGGGAAGGGGAAAAACAAATCGTTTAAATACGGATACAGGTGGACCCATTGCAACAACGAGATGTACACGTTGCTATGTTGAAAAATGAACTTTACAACTTTGGTGGGGGGAGGGGGTCCTGGGGAGGAGGCGGGGGGGGTCATATGGGAAGGGATGGGAAAGGGAAACAAAGGAGGAGGCAACAATGCTTGATAAGAAATGTACTCATTATCTTGCCCATGTAATTTTAACCCCTCTGTATGGTATTTTCACACACACACACACACACACACACACAAAGCAGTGGGCAGTGAGGACAGGAGCAAGGCTCCTGGAAATAGGAGATAGGCAATGAGTTGAGATTTGGAGGAAAAGTATTCCCAGCTGAGCTCTGGAACCCAAGGAAACCAGAATTGTGCTGGAGAGAAAAGAAGAGAGGGAGGGCAAGTAGATGGAGGGCTAGATAATGGTCAGGCATTGTACATCATTTTGAAGACAACTGTACTTCACAGGGAAATGTGTAAGATGGACTCAAGGCAAGAAGTATCAATCATGTCTTTTTAATTTTTATGTTTCTGATGCTTTGACTAGTAGAGCTTTGTTGATCTGGAGTGTCAGCTGTTGATAGGGGGTTTACTAATTCCTAGTGATAAAAACAACTGTATTGGGAGTGGGGCCCAGTGGCTTATGCTTATAATACTAGCTATTCAGGAGGCTGAGATCTGAGAACTGAGGTTCAAAGCCAGCTTGGACAGGAAAGTCCATGAGACTCTTATCTCCTCCAATTAAACACACAGAGAGAGAGAGAGAGAGAGAGAGAGAGAGAAGTAGAACAGGACTATGGCTGGCTCAGGTGGTAGAGTGCTAGCCTTGAACATAAAAACTAAGGAAAAGTACCCATGTCTTGAGTTTAAGCTCTAGTAACGGCACAAAATGCAATTGTTTGGGGAGCTTGGCTTTCATCTGTGTAGCGAACCTCCACAGTCCATGCTCCAACCACCTTTACTGTTCTCATAGACTCAGGACTGGGTCACTTAACCATCCCTGGGCCAGGTAACAGACAACTAGAACTATCCCTATGTCACACCCTAAAATTAACCAAAGTAACCAGTTCTTAACCTGATTATCCTACCTACTCATTCTTTCCCACAGAAACCACAGTAAAAATTCCACCTGAAGTTCCCTGAAGCACTGACTCCGGTGTTTTCCTATAGTCTGTGATATGCCTTTTCCTCTTGGAAACCAGAACAATTATTTTCAACAGCAATTGTCCTCTGATCTGTTGGCCTACCATACCTAAAGAACAATAAAATTTATGTTTTTCTTCTGTGCCAGTACTGGGGCTTGAGGTCAGGGCTTCATATTCTCAATTGGCTTTTTTTGCTCAAGGCTTGTGCTCTGCCACTTAAGCCATAC